AGGAAAAAAAATAAACATTTTTATCTTGAACAGATGTCATTGCTCAGTCACACAGGCAAGCATATTTACATTTGAAAAAATCACACAATCACACAAATTTTCAAGGAGCAGTGAAAGTATGTACTGTAAAGTAATCTCACACAAACGGTCAAGAAATCATACATATTTACATATTTCACACCCCAAGAAAGATATAGTAAATGTACATGTAATGGTAGTGTTTGTGTACTTTTTGTATTGCCTTTATAATGATTTTAATGCACAAAAATCATGTTGTTTGGATGATTTCAATAGTATTAGTAATTAGAAATAGATTTTTTTTTGCATTTTTAAATATTATTTAAAGATTTATTTCATAACGAATTATTGACATTACATTTCTGTTGGTATAATTTTATATATCAACCAATTGATATAAAATATTAATATATATTATACTATTAAATTTTATTTTTATAATATTCTCTTTATAGGAATAAGATGTCAACAAATTGAATTGTATTTAATAATACAATTTTAATCTAAATAATAAACGTATTAAAATGTATATTACATTTATAAAATTATTTGTATTATATAACTTAAATATTTAGTGTGTATACATGAGTATAAAATGAGCAAAAACTATTTTATATATTTTAATTACAATTTTTATTTTTTGTTTAACATGACTTTATGTAAGGATATGATTGTTAAAAAACAATTTAAGATCTGCCAGTTCTGCTATCCTTCTCAAATGTTCAGATTTATGCTCGCAGTAAACACAACTAATAGGACTTTCTGTGTCCTGAGCGCGAGGCTTGTTCTTGGATCCGTGTTTAGGATTAGTCTCAAAGCAGTGCACTCAGAGACCAGAACTCTTCGTGAAATATACGCATACCTACCTTCACAAGCATGATAGATGAGACCACGTGCTCACTGGTCCCAAAACTACAGCACTAGATCACAGACACTGCTGTCTCCACTCACCATGAACATATGGTCTTGAGCGTAAAGGAAAAAAAATAAACTTTTTTATCTTGAACAGATGTCATTGCTCAGTCACACAGGCAAGCATATTTACATTTGAAGGCTTTTAAAAATCACACAAATTTTCAAGGAGCAGTGAAAGTATGTACTGTAAAGTAATCTCACACAAACGGTCAAGAAATGTCAAAATCATACATATTTCACACCCCAAGAAAGATATAGTAAATGTACATGTAATGGTAGTGTTTGTGTACTTTTTGTATTGCCTTTATAATGATTTTAATGCACAAAAATCATGTTGTTTGGATGATTTCAATAGTATTAGTAATTAGAAATAGATTTTTTTTTGCATTTTTAAATATTATTTAAAGATTTATTTCATAACGAATTATTGACATTACATTTCTGTTGGTATAATTTTATATATCAACCAATTGATATAAAATATTAATATATATTATACTATTAAATTTTATTTTTATAATATTCTCTTTATAGGAATAAGATGTCAA